AGAAATTATTCATGAAAAGAATGTCGTAGACAGATTGCTTTCACATAGCCATGGACTTTGTGCTTTGGGGATGGGAAGGGCCCAGGAGAGACAAGTGAGGACCCTTGACCATCCTGAGCTCTTCTTTCCCTGCCTGGATCAGGGACTACAGGGGGCTGACCTTCTTCACTGAGTCTGGGAATATTGTCTAAATGCCAAGTCCATAGGGTGCAGAGCTACGGCCTCTTTTTCTGGCTGAAAGTGGTAGCTAAGGAGCCTCTGAACATCTCTCGAGGCTGTGTAATAGAAGAGCTTAGTCAAATAGTGGTTCCTCTGTTATCAGCACCTTTAATCCTACACATCATTGGTGAGCAGAGTACTGGGTGCTGGGTGCTACATACCCCCTTTCCTGTGCAAATTAGCTTTTTCTTTCTTTATTTTTTACTTATATATGATAGCAGAATGCATTACAATTCTTATTACACAGATAGAGAACAAGTTTTAATATCTCTGGTTGTATACAAAGTATATTCACACCAATATGTGTCTTCATACATGTACTTTGGATAATAATGATCATCACATTACACCATCATTAATAACCCCATGCTCCCTCCCTTCCCCTTTAACCCCTCTGCCCTATCTAGAGTTCATCTATTTCCCCATGCTCCCTCTTCCTATCCCACTATGAATCAACCTCCTTATATCAAAGAAAACATTTGGCATTTGTTTTTTGGGATTGGCTAACTTCACTTAGCATTATCTTCTTTAACTCCATCCATTTGCCTGCAAATGCCATGATTTTATTCTCTTTCATTGCTGAGTAAAATTCCATTGTGTATATATGCCACATTTTTTTTTAATCCATAATCTATTGAAGGGTAGTGGGATGACTCTCATAAGAAGTAAAATTGCTTGTTTTGTTATCTATTTCCTCCATTAGTCAGGAGATGATTAAGACATTGTACTAGATATTGTATTCAGAATACCTGTAAAGTCAGAATGCTTAGCCACCCCTAGCCCCCCACCCCTTGTCCCAAGTCCTGCAGATGAAACCCAGGGACTCATGCATGATGGGCAAGAGTTCTACCACTGAGCTACATCCTAGCCATTTTTATTTTTTTGAGACAGGATCTCACTAAATTGTCCAGGTGGCCTCAAATTTGCAATTCTCCTGCCTCAGTCTCCTGAGTGCCTGGGATTAGGAATTATAGACCTATATCACCAGGCCCAGCTATGTGCTTATTATTTTGAAGTTTATAAACTAGAATTGGTTGTAATGAACAATATATTTCAGGTTATAATATATGGAGACATATTGCTTATATACTATTTTAAATTTTTTATATAAAATACAGATGACTAACTTTTAATCAGATAATTATCAATATGAAGAATGATAATTTATTTTTAAAAAGTATCTCTTTAATATCTAAAAAAATGCATATAAATGTAAAAATGCAGTAATTTATACATTGACTTAACATATTATTGATAACCTATGATGAATCAGAAACAATCCTAGACTATTAGCATACATCAATGAACAACACAGCAAGTCTTTTAACTCTCTGGTATCATTATTCTTCATGTTATACTGATTATATAAATTAGATAATTATTGTTTGGAATTTTGTTGTTGTTGTTCTTAATTAGGTTGGTTTGTTTTTCATCTGTTGCTGCCGTTAGTTTTTTTTTTCCCCCAATCTAGGATCCAACCCAGAGCCTCACATATCTCATGCATGCCTAGCAAGAGCTCTTCCACTGAGCCACATCCCCAGTCCCTCTTACATGAGTATTTAATGAAGGGTATTTTTCTCTGAATATATGTTCTCTCCCATACATTATCTTGAATTGCCAAGGGTTTTTTTTTTTTTTTTCAGTTTGCAAACCATTTTTGTGATTACTCTTGGATTGTTTTATCTTAGACAAAAGACCAAAAAAATAAATAAAATAAAATAAAAAGAAGAAAAAGAAAAAAATGAGGGAAAAAAGGTGAAAGTTTATGTTCATAGAAAATAAGAGTCACTGTGCAGAGAAAGTCTTTCTTTTGGGGGCTCTGAATTGATAGTAAGAAAAAGCTTCTTATTACTGCCTGAAAGGTGGTCTGTCATTACTGTTCTCTGGTTGTATTTAGTAAGCTGGTCCTTCTTCCTTGAGTCAATTTATCCATTGTCTTATTCCTAGTACTCATTGTAGGAGAGGAAAGGTCTTTTTTCCCCCTCTCCCATGACTAAATTTATGGCTGAGGCACCTGTAACAACAATAAAGGAAAATCACATACTTCCATTTAATATAAGTTTTGTGTGTCAAAAGAGACTTCATAAGGAAAAGAAGATCCAAAGAAGCAAGGAAATCCTTGTATTTTTATGTTTATATTTGTTAAAGAGTAGAGAGTCATTGGTAAATACAATTGGTATCAAGGTCATACCTAAAATATGGTACCCTGGCATACTGAATATTTTAAGCTAGAGGGAAATCAAGAAAACTACAGAAGCAGACAGGTCTTGCCTGCCTCCCCTCTCCTGGGCTACATAGAAAGTGAAATTCTCCCCTTTTTTCCTACCTGATGCAGCCCATAAATTCTAGACTATCACTTTCTGAACTTCTCCTTCCCCTTCTCCCCTGAAGACCCACAGTTGACAGTGTCCTGCCCTATACCTAGAAGTAGAGAATGTCATAAAAAGACAGAAAAAAATCTGAACAAACAGGAATTTCTGATCCCTCCTCAGTCTATTACCATTAGCTGCTACCCTCTTGCCTTTCAATCAAACTTCTGCATCACTATCACAGTTTGCCCTATGTCTGTGGGTCTTCATTTTGGAAGGCTCTTGTGTAGTTTAAAACTAGTATGCTTTTCTTTCATTGATTTTGTTGTAAAATGTTGTGAAATGAATTTTTTGATGAGTGAAGAAAAGGTAATATTTTTTTCTCCCCTACATCGGACAAACAGAATTTGATCTAATGATAAAAAACTGGGAGGGGGTACTTAGCAAGGACTGTTTGTTTAGAATCTCTTGGTGTTTCTGTCTTCAGAAATAAGTATGTTCCTTTCCTCTGGATTTTGGAAGAGTACCTGTCAAATTTTATGATCCGTATCAAGGAGAAGATCAAAACCAAGTTGAGAGTGATTGTCCTGCTTCTGCTGTTTTCTCAAATGCCAACAAGCCACATTTTGGAGAAGGATGTCCTGAATCACTCTGTTTGCCAAAGACTATGTTACTGACTTGGACAATTGGTGAATATTGACTTACACACTACTACTTTGCAACAGGTCTGCAAGAAGTTGGCAAGACTTCTGTGGTAGACTGGGCAAGGAGGAGAAATTTATTTATTCTCCAATGAGCTCTCTCAGATTTTGATTAGAGTTTGACAGTGAGAACTGCAGAGTCCTGGGTATATCATCTTCCCCCAAACCTCTGCATCAAGAGATGTGAACAGCTTTAGCATGACTTCCAGCCTTGTTCACAAGATGACTCCTTTCAGCTTTCTTGAGGAAGCTCTCTTTATGCTAAGGAGAATTTACTTTTCCTTCTATTTAAAATTTGGTGATAGACAGCCCCTGAATCTATTCTTATGATAGTTATTTTAGAAGACTTGCAATACTAAATTTATTTTCTGCCCTTTCTGATGTAAATCTACCACACAGAACAGTATTTTCAAGCATCCGTTTCTTTGAAATGTATTCAGTATTCAGGAAGATAATTCTTACTCGTTCTCCCAGTCACTCTGGGAGAATAAGAGCCAATTTAGATGGTGGGCACATTGCTTCAACTTGCACCACTACCTCATATCATAAAGACAGAAGAGATTTTTTTCTCCTCTGAATAAGTGTTAATTAACAAACCCTAGTCACACTGAGTTTCACCCCAGTGCCTTTTCCTTAGTACACTCAAGTCATTCAAAAGTCTTCAGACTTATTTTGGGGAAGTTCAGTTCAGTTCCGTATTACTGAAATCTGTCCTCATTACTTTAAAGTCTGGCTTTGTTGATCTGTAGTCAACTGTCTGTCCCCTACATTTTGCTTATTTCAGTCTGGTGTGTGGGTTGGGTGCTTAAGTTGGCAGCAATGATGAATGTGTTCATTTGATTGATTTTGAGTACTACAATGGAAATTTGGAAAGGGAAAAAATTAGAAAATTATGATAATATTTCAATCCCAGAATGCTCCATAAGCAATTACTTGGCAATATTAATGTACTGAATGAGGAAAGAAGGTAGTGTAGGATAGCCAACAAGATCATGAGTTTTGCAGCAAAAGGATCTGGTTCAAGTCTTTGCTCAAATTTTAAAAATTAGCTTCTTAAGCCCCAGCAAAGGACTACATTTTTAATGTCTCATTTTCTTCCTTTGAAAATAGGAATTATAATACTACATAGAGTTTTTGGAATGCTAAGATTGAATAGGAAAGCATATGTGATATTCAGTACTTAGAACATAGTCAGTGCTCAATGAATACTTACTGCTTTGTATTTTTCATCTCTGATGAATCCCAAAGAGAACTGTTTCCTCTCTTGTTACAATAATGCACCTCCCCATGGCATCATTCTTATCCTTATCTATACGTTTTCTCCACGAGAAAAATGAACTTCTTCACCATTTTTCCTTTGATCTCCAGTTCCTGCTGAATGGAACTTTGAACATTTAATAAGTGTTTGCTGGGTGAAAAAAAATACATGAGTATGTGCATGCACGTACATTTATAACAAAATGATAGTAACCCCAAGGTATCAAATTATTTAATAGTTTACATAGGCCAAGTCAATTAAGGGCGTCAAATTCAGTTTTGAGAATCATGAAGGTGGCATAAGCCTTCATGCATTTGTCTTATACTTGATCTGAAACAAGGACATAGCTATTATGTGGCTTTTTAATTTCATTGAAGTTTTTAGACCCAGAAATAAAACTTAAAGGTAAAAACGGGAAATTACTACAGCAGAATTTTCATTTCCTGCTTTTGGGTATGTGGAGAAGTAAATCTCAACTTGTTAAACCTCAATAATGCTTACACCACATGATTTGACTTATAGGTCCTCTTTTGCCCATGGACAGTCATTTGGAGAGGCAAAAGGAAATAACTATCTAATGCAGTGTCTTTTTAGAGAACATATAAAACAATGGAATTCCGCTCTGATTTAGAAAATTTGGACGAAGATGGGTATACTCAATTAGACTTCACCTCTAGAGGCATCACCAGAAGACCTGTGAAAGGTATTTTTTTTTTCCTTTTGACTTTAGTACTCTCATTCTCATTGACTAAAATACTAAAAGTAGGGAAAATTTGAGACTCATTGATATGTTTTTAAAGGTTTTTAGAAGTCACTGCAAATAACTTGAAAATTCATTAAGGCTCTTTCATGGTAGGTATTCAGGGATTAATTCTTATATCTAAATTAATTTGTTTGATGGAAGAAAATGAAATTTGTTCTAAACAAAAGACATTTCATCACTGGGGAGTTGAAAGTTAAGTGTGAAGCTACACAAAGCTGAAGGATTTCAATAGATTTACTTGTTCCTGGTTTGATAGAAAAGAATCAATTGTAGGAGGGAGGTCCAGGAATCCTATAGAAATGCTTATGAATAACATCAGAAAATAGGAGACTAGAAAGAGAAGAATGGAAAGATGAGAGACACATGACAAAACTAAAACTCTTACAATTTTATGGTGAAGACCAGAGGGAAGTTGGAAGTTGTAGGGTTTGAAATTTCAAAACTGATTTTTTTTTTTTTTTTTTTTGTGATAAGAGATCGAAGGGAGTTCTTGGAATATCAGGGAAGGAAAACATATATTAGATAAAAAGCTCCTATGGACATGAATCTAAACAAAAATGCAAATGAAAGGAAATATTGAGAAGGACATTAAAGGATCTGTCTTTTCACAAAATGAGTGGCTTTAGTGTCCCTTATGAGTCTCCTGTTTGACAATTCTATGAATTGCTCTTAGCACATTACCAGTGAGAAGCAGAGAGATGTTTTTGGTGTGTTGATGTTGATACAAAATCAGTTCCCTGTTATCTTCAAGAAAGACAATTCATGGGTTTTGACATCAGATTTTGTTTTCTTCTGCTTTCTGGTATTCACACTGGTCAGCTATTTTCCTCTCATCGCCACTTATGAAGTTCTTTTTTATGCAACTTGTGACAAAAAGCAGAAAATTTGGATGAGGGAAGAGATAGTTAGGCAATATGTTTATGTGTGTGTGTGGACAAATAAAAAGAGACCTGTATGTGCTTGCTAAAGGAAGTGCTTCTACATATTTTAGGTCATTTATTTCCCACAAGAATCCTGTGAGGTATTATTATCCCAATTTCAAAGAGAAATGAAAAATAAAAGGGCAAATAATATGCCTAAGTCATTCATTAAATAAATGAGAAAGAAAGTTATCCTTGGTAATCAGGGCTAGGTTCCCTATATTAAGCTGTTTCCTCTAAGAATGAGTGGGATTTCAGGGACCTGAGCAGTGTCAAGACCTATGGACAGTTTCAGTTCCAACAACTGAGGAAGTATCCTAAAGATGGGGAAAAATGGAAACTCACTCTAAATGTCTAGATTATGTAGGCATCAGTAATAAATGATTCTCTTACGAATTGGCCAGGAGTTTAATGAACTGTGGGATTAAAGCATTCTGTCCTCCATCATAGTCTTCATTCAATTTCTGCTCCCTCTGGCTCCTTAGGTGATCAGAAGGCTTCTCCTCCTTGGCGGCTGATTGCTGTGACAATCAGTGTTATCTGCTTGATAACACTGGTGATAGCTGTAGTTCTGGGTGTCCTAGGTGAGTACTAGGCGGTGAGGTTTGCAATAGTCACAGGCAGTATTTAATGTGTGCTAGGCATTCTTTTAATGACTTGGCATATATGATCTAATTTAGTCTGTACATCGACCATATTGAGTTGTTGCTATTAATTCCCATTTCACTTATAAGGAAGTAAGAGAATGGGAGATTATTTTACTTTTACAGGATCATAAGTTAGTTAGTTAGTGGGGTGTTGATTAGAAATTTAGAAGTTCTGTCTAAAAAAAATGCATAGTCTTAACTACATTGCTTTACTATCACCCTGGAATAGCTGGTTTGAAAACTGTGAAATTTGAAGGATAAATTTAATGGAAGGAAATCTGTGGAGCTGGAGAAAGAAATACAATATGATGTTATCTTTCTAATGAAAAAAATTCACTGAAGGGATTATATGCTATTTTAATGAGTCTCATGATTGATGGGACTTGTTTTATATCTGATCATTAATATAAACTCCTTTGAATATACCAGGAATTGCCTGAGGCACTTAATGCATTCTAAGTAGATACTTAGTGATGGATGAATAGATTTTTTTAGATTTTATATCTCATGAATTCTGTTACCAATAAAGTATTATTATTCCTTCAGAGAGTCTTCATGATGTTTCTTAATTAGTCAATTTTACTGAGTACATTTTATGTTATAGGTGCTGAGCAAGTTCTCCAGGAGCTCTCATTTATCTGTAATAGAAAAAAAAAAAAAACCAGAAGACTTATTACTGTTTCAAATCTCTCATGGTTTTAGTTGACTCTTTTTCGTTTGCCTCTAGCTGATCTGTCATCTCTTTCCTCTGCATCTGCTTCATTTTTCTTTCTCACTATTTCTTTATAGAAGTTATTTGTTTTTTTTCCTATTTCATCTATCAATCAAATATATCACTTTACCATTCCACTAACAATAAAGCATCTATTTGTCATCAAAGATCTATCCCTTTATATTACAATAAAATTTGAGTTTCAGAATTTTAATTTTCAAACATAGCAGAATAACTTTTTTTTTCTGTTACTCTTATTGTTCTTGGAATATAAAGCATTTAGGAGATCCAATTCAGGCAGTGACCCATTGGAAAAAGAGAACTTTACATTAAGAAATAAAGAGAATCACAGTCAACCCACAAAATCATCTTTAGAAGAGAATGTGGCTCCTACCAAGACTCTCAAAATCACAGGCAAGGGCAGAGTTAAAACTTTAATGAAATCCTTGATTCAAGATGATTAATTTTTTGGTGCTAAGCCTGGGGTAGGTGGAAGATGAGATAGTACTGATCAGTACTATCTCAGTATAATGCATCACTGCCAGATCTATAATAAAGCAATAAAGTTATTTCATTAATACCCATTTGTATGAACACTTCTATGTTGAACTTTTTTTTTTTTTGAAATCAGTAACTGATTTATCACTGGCTATATGTTTAGACCTTCAGAAGATTGTATAATTGATGTGAAAGAAAAAATATGTTCGTTCCTCCTTAGGAAAATGATATATTTAAAGTGATACTATTAAAAGAGGAAATAGGATATCAGGACAGAAGAATGGCAAGGAAAAGTAAAAGAGCAAAAATGTTGGCAAGAAATAAGGTGCTACGTTAAAAAATACAAAAGTATTAGCACTAATAATATATTCCTGAAAACTGATTAAATGTGTTTGCCTTTAACCATATGACTTCATTACAATTTTATACATGGACGACCTTTACTTTTAATTGCATCATAATCGACAATGACTATATTTTCAGTTCAAGTTTCAATCTCTGGACTCATACTTCCTGACTTTCTTATCAAACAGCTGATAATACTCAATGTAGACACTCTGAAATGTAAATAATTGCCCTTAAGCTTTTCCACTTTGGAAAGCGACAATTTAAAGTGGGTTTCTCATCATAAAATAACTTAAATCACATGAAATTACTATGAATCCTAATGATTGACTTTGAGTGCATTTATTATAGGGGGTTGAAATAGAGAAAGGGAGTTCTGGGCTAAATTTGAATTTAAAGGAAGACAAAAAGGAAAGGATGGTTAACTCTCTGAAACATTGTATATAGTTTTTCAGATAATTTAAGTGAATGAGAGGATTTGAACGTATTCTATAAAATCATATCCTTATAGGTTTGAATTGAAAATGAAAGATATTAATGGCAATTCATTGATTAAGTATTCATGAGATAAATTGTGTTTGCATTAGAAAAAGGAGTTGGTATACTATGAGCTTCATGGTACTTACTATCTCTTATTTCCAGGACCCTTTTCTAGCCCGTGTCCCCCTAAGTGGATCATACATGAGAAGAGCTGTTATCTATTTAGCATGTCACTAGATTCCTGGCAAAGAAGTAAGAGCCGATGCTCTCAGCTGGGCTCTCATCTCCTGAAGATAGACAGCTCAAGTGAATTGGTAAGTGTAGACTTCAGCTGTAATTATCAGTAGTCTTGATGAAACACGAAAACAGAGAGAGAATCCAGGTAATAATTCTTTTTCTTATGTGAAACTTACTTTCAGAATTCTTCATAGTTGTAATATTAGCATTCATTCAGCATGTAAATTACATATTATATGCTTTTTAAAAATTAATTAATATAAAACAATCATCTTTCACTTTATTTATTTGTTTTTTATTGTTGGTTGTTCAAAAATTACATAGTTCTTGATATATCATCTTTCACACTTTGCTTCAAGTGAGTTATGAACTCCCATTTTTAGCCCATATACAGATTACAGAATCACATCAATTACACATCCATTGATTTACATATTGCCATACTAGTGTCTGTTGTGTTCTGCTGCCTTTCCTATCCTCTACTATCCCCCCTCCCCTCCCCTCCCCACCCTTCTTCTCTCTCTACCCCCCCTATTGACCTTCATTTCTCCCCCTTGTATTATTTTTCCCTTTCCCCTCATTCCCTCTTGTATGTTCTTTTGTATAACCCTGAGGGTCTCCTTCCATTTCCATGCAATTTCCCTTTTCTCTCCCTTTCCCTCCCACCTCTCATCTCTGTTTAATGTTAATCTTCTTCTCATGCTCTTCGTCCCTACTCTGTTCTTAGTTACTCTCCTTATATCAAAGGAGACATTTGGCATGCTCACCATCTCTAGCAGTCAGAGAAATGCAAATCAAAACCACCCTAAGATACCATCTCACTCCAGTAAGATTGGCAGCCATCATGAAGTCAAACAACAACAAGTGCTGGCGAGGATGTGGGGAAAAGGGTACACTTGTACATTGCTGGTGGGACTGCAAATTGGTGCAGCCAATTTGGAAAGCAGTATGGAGATTTCTTGGAAAGCTGGGAATGGAGCCACCATTTGACCCATCTTTCACTTTAAAATAAATTTTTTCAAATACATTCCATGTTTTAATGACTACAACAATCAGTCCTCTATTAATTTTTGTGGGTTTGTATTTCAATTTCTAAATTTAGTGGAGAAAACAGAAAAATTTCCCCATCATCATGATTTTCAAGGAAAATAGCAACAATGATAATATATATTTATAAATTATCTGCTCTTTGCAATATACCAGAAAAGGCAAAAAATGTTTAAAAAGTAATAAATGTGTATTACTGAGCTTATTTAATTCATTAAGAAAAAACCAACAGTTTTAAGAAATCAATATCTGATATAGATAATAAATAATATAGGAGTTTAGAGATATCTTTGAACACATAAGAGATTTTAAAGTAAAAGGGAGACAATCTGTCATGAATGAAAGGTAGAACTCAGATGAGTTATGAAAAGGAATTAATAGGAAACGTTCTACTTTATAAATCTAAAGTTATCCATAACCTTTACACCGATTTTCATTACTTTCCATTTTTTTTTTGTTTCTGTAATGCCAATCCCAATAGTTGCTAATGAAAGTAGGTACATGGTAAAGTGAGAGCATTGTATTAGAAATCTGTGTGGCTATTAGATCAATCTGTAATTGATAATAAATCATCTTGTATTTGTCAGCAATTCATATATTTTCAGTGAACCACAGATTATTTATTCATAAAATCTGAAATGGCACTAAATTAATTTCAAGGCATTATCCAATTCCGAGAAGCATTTCTTTTTTCCCTTTTAAGTTAATGTTTATGATTCTAATTGTTAACACATATTAATTATCCAAATTAATGTATTCACTGTGATACTTCTAATTATGGATATGTATGTTGTGCATTGATCTGTTTCATCCATCATCCTCTTACCCTTGCCACAGCCAACACCATTCTCAGTAATCCCTCTTGTGCTCACAGTCCTTCTTTTCTGTTGGTGTTTCTGTGCATGAGAGGGAATGCACAATATTTTTTTTCTATTTGATTTATCCTGCTTAGTATGATGTCTTTTATTTCCTTCCACACGTTGCAAATGACAGGATTTCATTCTTCTTTATAGTTGACTGATATTGTATATCTATACCATATTTTTTTTATCCATTCATCTGTTGATGGGACCTAGGCTAATTCTAGATCTTATATAATTAATTAAATTATATCTTATAATCATATATCTTGTGAATAATGCTGCAATAAACATGGACATGTAGGTATTTCCTTTGTAAGCTGATTTCATTTCCTTCAGCTATACACCCAGGAGTGGAATAGCTGTTTAATACAGAAATTTTATTTTTAGCTTTTTGAGGACTCTTCATACTGTTTTTCATAGAAGCTGTAGTAATCTGCATTCCTATCAACAGTGTATAAGGGTTCCTTTTTTTCCTATCACTTCATAATTACTTGTTATTTTTATTTTTTGATAATAACCATTCTTACTGGGGTGAGATGGTGTCCTTTATAGCCTTTGATTTGCATATCCTGGATGGCTAATGATATTAAGCCTTTTTTTCATATAGTTTGAAGTAATTTGTGTTTCTTTTGAGAAGTTTTTGTTCAGATCATTTGTCCAATTTTAAGATAGATCACTTGATTTTTGTTTAGTTTTTTATTTCTTTGTGTATTCTAGATAACCCTCTGTCACATGAATCCATGACAAATATTTTCTCCCATTGTGTAGTCTGTCTCTTAACTATGGATAGTTTTTTTTGTTGTTGATGTTGTTGTTTTGTTTGTTTTTTTAATTTGCTGTGAAGAAGACTTTTTAGTTGAATGTCATTTTATTTATCATTTTTTTTTTTTTGCTTTTGTTTTCTGAGCTTTTGGAGTCCTATGTAGAATATCACTACTGTTATTGATATCTTGAAGTAGTTCCTCAATGTTTTCTTCTGGAAGTTTCAGGTCTTACAGTAAGGTCTTCGATCCATTCTGAGTTGATTTTTGTACAGGGTAGAGATAGAGGTTTAGTTTCAATCTTCCACATGTGGATATCCAGTTTTCCCAGTATTGTGTACTAAAGAGGCTGTACTTTCTCCATCGTGTTTCTGGCACATTTGATGAGAATTAGTTAGTGTTTTAGTCAGCTTTCTGCTGTTTTGACTATAGAACCTAACCTGAACAATTTTAAAGGAGGAAAAGTTTATTTAGGTGCTCATGGTTTTAGAGGTCTTAGTCCATGGAGGGCCAGCTTCATTCCTTGAGACTCATGGCAGAAGAGTATGGCAGAGGAAAGCAGCTTACCATCATAAGCAGATAGAGAGACTCTACTCTCCAGTTACAAAATATATACTCAAAATATATGCCATGCCCCCAGTGACCCATCTCCTCCAGCCATACCCTACCTGCCTTCAGTTACCACTCAGTTTATCCCATCAGGGATTGGTCCACCGATTAGACCAATGCTATAATCCAATCAATTTTCTCCCAACCTTCTCGTGTTGTCTAACACACGAACTCTGGGGGACACTTCACATCCAAACTGTAACATTTGGCTGTAGGTATGTGGATTAATTTCTGGTGCCATAGCATGCTGCTATTTTTACTGACTCTGTAGTCTGTCCTCCAATAAGATGTTATGATGCCTCTAGCTTCTCTCCTTATACTCAAGATTGCTTTGGATATTTGGGAGATTTTTTTTTTTTGCTTCAATATAAATTTTGGAATTTTTTTTCTCTAGTTCTGTAAAGAATGTCATTGATAGTTTGACGGATAGTGCATTGAATCTGTAGATTGCTTTCAGTGTATGACCATTTTGACAATAATAATTCCTCCAACCTATGAATATGAAGTGTCTTTGCATTTTTTAGTGTTTTCTTTGATTTCATTCTTCAGTATTTTTTAATTTTCATCATAGTCATCTTTCACTTCCTTAGTTAAATTTATTTCTAGGTATTTAGTTCTTGTATGAGAACCATGAATGGAATTTCATGACAATTTTCTTAGCAAATTCATTATTGGCATATAGAAAAGCTATTGATTTTTGTAAGTTGATTTTGTATCCTGCTACCTTATTGAATTCATTTATCTGAGTCTTTTGGGGGAGTCTAGGTTTTTCTGTGTATAGAAATCATATCATCTGAAAACAGGGATAATTTGACCTTCTCCTTTCCTTTGTATGTATTTTCTCTTTTTCTTTTTTTCTCATCGTTCTGGCTACAATTTCTAGTACTATATTGAGTAAGAGTGATCAAGGTGGACAACCCCCTCCTGTTCCTGATCTTAGAGGAAATGCTTCGAGGTTCTCCTCATTCAATATTGTATTGGCTATGTGTTTGTTATGTATAGACTTTATACCACGGAGGTATGATCTTCCAGTATCTCATGTGTTCAGGTCTTTTATCCTTAAGAAATATTGAATTTTATCAAATGCTTTTTCAGAATCCACCGTAGTAATCATGGTTTTTATTTTGAATTATTTTTATGTGATATATTACATTACATATATGTGGTGAACCATGCTTGCATCCCTGGAATGAAACTAACTTGATCATGGTGAATGATCTTTTTTTTGTGTGTGTGTGTGTGTGTGTTTTAATTTTTTTTTTCTTTTTTTTTATTGGTTGTTCAAAACATTACAAAACTCTTGACATATCATATTTCATACATTAGATTCAAGTGGGTTATGAACTCCCATTTGTAATCCAAATACAGATTGCGGAATCACATCAGTTACACATCCACATTTTTACATAATGCCATATTAGTAACTGTTGTATTCTACTACCTTTCCTATGATCTTTTTGATATGCAGTTGAATTGAATCCGGTAGTATTTTGTTGAGAATTTTTGCATGTGTGTTCATCAGAGATATTGGTCTAGATTTCTTTTTTTTTTTGTGTGTGTGTGTGTGACATTGTTAGATTTTAGCCTCTTTAGGGTGAGTTTGGAAGTGTTCTCTTCCTTTTAATTCTATGGAATAGTTTTAAAAGCATTAGTGTTATTCTTTAAAAGTTTGGTTACACTGGGCAAGGCAGAACATGCCTGTAATTCCAGTGACTCAGGAAACTGAGGCAGGAGGATTGCAAGTTTGAAGCCAACTTGGGTTACTTAGTAAGATCCTGCCTCAAAAAAAAAAAAAAAAAAAAAGACAGGTGATGTAGTTTAGTGGTAGAGTGCCCCTGGATTGAGTCCTCATTACTGCTAAATAAATATATTCAGTAAGTAAGTTTGGTCGAATTTAGCAGTAAAGACATCCAGTCCTGGGCTTTTCTTTGTAGATAGACTTCTTATTATGCTTATTATGTTGTCGATGGTCTATTCAGATTTTCTATGTTTTGGATTCAATTTTGGTAGGTCATCAATGTCCATAAATTTATTCTAGACTTTCAAATTTGTTAGCATGTAGCTTTTCAAAATAATCTCTAATGATTCTTTGAATTTCTGTAGTATCAGAAGTAAAGTCTCCTTTGAAATCTCAAATTTTATTTTATTTATCTGGGTATTCTGAGAAGCATTTCTTGACAAGATTAGTATCAATTTATGAAAATAATAGGGTCATATCTACCATGAAAATTGCCTACTAAACTTATCATTCTTGGATAAGCTTTGCCTGGTATATTGAATGGATGCAGTTTTCATTGACATTTTGAATCTATTATTTATTGAAATCATGAATGATGAAAGTATTTTTATGAGAAATTAAATGGAAGTGACTCTAAATAAAATAAACACTTTGAGACATTCAATGAAATAAAAATATTGGAATTTCTCTCTAGGTCCTTGCCATCTTATGCATGCATTCTTCACCAAAGGGATTCAATCAGTTCTTTTTTTTCCCAAAAATCTATATTTTCTCTTTCTGTATATTTGCATTTCTGTTTCATTCCAGGATTTTATAGAAAGCCAAGTGTCTTCCCAACCTGATCATTCATTTTGGATAGGGCTCTCTCGCCATCAGAGTGAAGAACCATGGCACTGGGAGGATGGATCCACCTTCTCTTCTAATTTGTAAGTGTCTGAAAAGAAAAGGTATCATCCACTTTCTCACAAAGATGAAAGTAAGTCATGCAGTTAACCTGATTTACCGGCCATGTTTTATAAAGAGAAAGGATCACAATGGTGGGGGGAGTGAAAAAGTGAGCAAGAAAAGACAGGAAGAAAAGAGGACTGCAGAATCAAAAAAATAGTTTCTAGTGCTACCAACTCAGGTGTTTCCTTGGCTCCTATAGGTAGAGGGTATTCCTTACATTTGTTTTAATTATGTCATTGTATTGTACTTTACCAGGTTTCAAATCAGAAGCACAGCTACCCAGGAAAATTTGCTTCACAACTGTGGATGGATTCATGTGTCCACTGTTTATGACCAATACTGTTATGTGACCTCATTCAGTATCTGTGAGAAGAAGCTGTCGAAGTAAGGGGGAGGAGAAGTAATCAAAGGAGATAAGTATATGAGACTGTATGGATGGCAAAAACAGAAGAGTGATATTTGAGGTATAAATAGATGCTGAAAATGTTAAAAGTGCATGGCAAACTTAAATCTCAGCTGAGAAATAGGATATAGAGGCTGTGATTTCTGTACTTGTCAGCTCCATAGGGAGGCCAATCTTATGCTAGTGAACACAGTCCTACTCATGGAGTCAGGGCAGCTAAGCTTGAATTTTTGTTCTACCATTGCTAAGCCACAAGTCCTTGGTGATTTCAAAGGAATCTTCATTTTTGGCTCTACCAGAATTTTATTATTATTATTTTTTTATCCTCAAAAAGTTCCAATGAGGGCTGGGGTTGTGGCTCAGTGGTAGAGCACTCAACTAGCATATGTGAGATGCTGGGTTCGATCTTCAGCACTATATAAAAATACATAAATTAAATAAAGGTATTGTGTCCAAATACAACTAAATATATATATGTATATATATATACACACACACACACACACACACACACACACATATATATACTTTTTAAAGTGCCAATGGAGTGTCATTGTGTGTTTCCTTAATTTGTTCCTCAACTTCTACCAGTATATCATGCTTGGGTAGAAGGTAAAATGTAGTTCTGAATTACCTAAATAAAGAAATGGAAAAAAATCGTCACTATAATCAGAGGTATCTTGTTATTTTTCTTAATATGATCATAATTATGAACATCATCACTAAAAACCAGCAACTGCAACTAAATAACCCAGAGAGTATGCCATCCGTAGCTTTACTAATAGCTGTATAATGTGAAATTGGAGGGAAGATGGTCTTTATGAAAACTTTCTCCTTTTCAAATATTATAAATCAAAAAATAAATAATATCTGATAACAAATACAAAAGTAACCAATCTTATTGGCAGAAATATTAATACGTTGGAGAAAAGGTACATTATATTATTTTTATAATATACTGTTTTGCAATTTGTACCAATTCCTGATCACTGTAAAATATTATTGGAATGTAATTATATTTCATCATGTGATGATTTATTTATTTTCTTTTAAATTGTCTCATTGATGTTATTTATATTTTCAATGGGGATTTCTGTATTATTGGGGATATACAAAATTATTTGTAGCTTTCTCATGTTGATTAATGTGGGAAAAGAAACTGTGCCGAATTTACTGAATTGTTTATTATACAGTGGTTAATTTTATGTAATGTAGATTTCACCTCAACTAAAATAAAATGCTTTGGCTTCTAAATTGTATGCCTCTGTGTAATAATCACTCTCACAAATTGCCTTCTCCTTAAAAGTGATGATAAATTTGATACTAGGCAAAGGGTACTTGTATTAGTATAATAGAAACTTTTGTATTAAAGCCTAAGTTTAGATTCTTAAAGAATTAAAAATCTGGGCCTGGGGCTGTGGCTTAGTGGTAGCCCACTTGCCTGCCATGCGTAAGGCTCTGGGTTTGATTCTCAGCACCACATATAAATAAATAAATAAATAAATATCAACAACTTAAAAAAACATTAAAAAAAGAATTAAAAAATCTAAAAGAAGACAGATTATTGTGAAGGTGACTATTGTATTTTACTATGCAAATTTGTATTATCACTATCTGGAAAAAAATAGAGCTATCTAGAGATAATTTAGCCTGAAAGTATAAGAAACATCATTAACTGATTTAAACAGTTAATTAAAGCACAGAAGAGATTTGAAGAGAGGTCACATATCTTAATTTCAGTTTTGGTTTGAGTGAATCTTCCTGGGTCCCCAGGATGGGATGGATGAGTTTAAGGAATCATTATAAGCAAGGGAAATAATTCCAGATGCTGAAAATCAAGCTGTACTTACTAGAACAGATAGGCTAGGCAATTACCATGACTTCAAATATGACAAAAGTGATGGCATAAAATAAGATTATTGTAGGTTGTCCAAGGTGCACTATTCCTGACTTGTTGATACACATTTTATAGTGCAATTTACCTAGAAAAACACATCCAAATGAACAGGAAGCATTTACACTTTTCATGAGACACAGAAGGGGAAATAACTGCTACCTAGACCTAAGTCTGCAGGGTAAATTCAAGCTGAGCAGTGATTGGTTATTCTAGAGGAAACACCCTTTGAAAGGCCACCATCTGAGATTCAAGGTGGCGCAGTAGAGGAAGGCTGCATTTCCAGTTGCTCTGTGATTCAGGATTCATGGATGGAGATTACTACTTCTCAACAAGGTAGGTGAAAGAGGTATTTCACTAAAATTGAATACTGGACAGCCAGAGTATCTTAGAGACTCAAAAATTCAGGTACATTGATCAAAGAACAAGAAAGAACGTTGGAGCTAAGCAGTTGTGACAGCGTTAGTGGCAGCAGTGCAGCACTGGTTCACCGCAGAGGGGAGGGTCAGAGAGAAATACAACAGAAAAACCTGTAGATTAGAAAATGAGCCTGAATTTAGGTAATCCAGCAGCTGCGTAGCAAACTGGTATTTGAAAAGGGTTCTTTTCTTTTTCCCTCAACTGGCAAATGGAGGGCTGAGGTAGGAGATGTCTTGAAGAGGCTGTGCTGTAGCTTGCTGCTGTGTGAGCCTGTGAGATCATAGCAAACGTTGCCATCCTGTCTCAGCAAGCACCCAACATGGCCTAGGGGTACCTAGTGGAACAAGAGTCAAACAGGTACAAATAAGATTGTACCCAGGGGGATTCAATTCAGAAAAATGAAGGGGAGTGCAACTTGCTTTCCATTTGAGTCAGACCGCTCATGTCACCAGCTTAAGTGGTTTGGAAATCTGAACAAGCGGGTGTGAATATACTCAGGTACTAAGCCTGGGAAAGTTGTGTTCATGGGTAGCAGAGTGTGTAGAGGATTGTCTCCCCTGTCACATGAGGAGAATTCTTGCAAGGCTCCTGAGATCCAGGCTCTCAGCTGAGATGGGAATCTGAGTCCTAGGGGTATTTTGATCTAATCTCTCCAGAGCAGACATCACTCAACAAAGCCCCTGAGCCAGTTTAGATTAAGCCCTACTGCTGGAACTCTCATAGAACTGTAGCAGCCCCACCCTGGGAGTGCACTGACCTGGTCTGTCTGGAAAAAACACCAATCTATAGGACTTCCCATTACATTCTACCTTAAACGGGTGAGAAGGGAAGCTAAGATTCCTTTTAACCAGCTTCAGTCTTAAACCACTCCACTGGCATCTCAGTGAGCAATACAAAAAGAGGAAAAGATTAACAACCCTCAGATCTTTCTCTCTGTCTCTCTGTACATAGCCCAAGAAAAAATGGAAAGAAGGACTGATGGGCATAGGCAATGACTGTCCATTATTGTCGACTGTTTTGGCCACCTCTCTGGAGGAGAATTTTTTATTTCTCATTAAGAATCTTTTTGTTCCCCGTGTGTGTCTTGATTTGTGGAGATATATATTTACATCTATATATCTATCTATAAACAATACATACATATTTATTTCTCTTTTTCACTCATTTTAGCATTTTAAAAAATATAGTTGCTTTTTCTTGCCTTGTCTTTTGAGGGTTAGAGGTGTTTCTGCTTTTGTTTTTGTTTTTTTGTTTCTCTTTCTCTTATATCTTCTCCAACTAAAACCCAAATTCTCTTATTCTCTTTCTCTTTCTTTATGTTGTTTTCCCTATTTTTTCTCCTCCTTCTTTATAACTAGCACTTGCAATGTGTCTTCTGCATTGTCTGTTTACATTTTGACCACTCAAAATTCATTTCTATCTTCCTGTCATGTTTGCTTTTTTCAATGAACTATATTTTTACCATCTTTTAAAACAATTTGGTTTCTATAACTCCTGCCCTTACCATTCATATTATTTCAACTATTACTGCTATGGATGACATAGTTGACACCTGCTGTTCACTATAAGTCAGATCTAGTTTACAGTTATGGATTGTTTTTGTTGTTGACAATTATTGACCTCACCATTTCTGTTTTTATGGTAATTAGTGTTGAAGAAGTCATAGTGGGCATTGTTTTCTTTTCTTTTTTTTAACATTATACATTATTTGCTTTGGTTGTTGATATTGTTTGCTTCCTCCTTTTCTGCAAGGTGGTGGGAATCTACAGGAACACTATAAAGTTCACAGGGTAGACACTGCTACTAAACTAATCTCAGTCAAAAGACAGTGTACCTTGCTCCACACACAAGTTAATGACACTAAACTTTTTGGGTATACTCTAATACAAAGAATAAAAGAGACAAAACCCCAAACTAATGACCAGGCCCCAAATAGGTTCCACTCATGGACATTTGTTCCTACAGCAAAAAGAGACAAAATTAATGCAAAGACTATGGATACCATGCCTATGAGGAGGTTTAAATCTAGATGACTGAAGGACAGTTTGGGAAGATAGGATTGTACCCTAAAAAGGCTCACCCATAAGTATGGAAGAGAAATCCATCCCAACATATGCCTTAAAACCAAACACAGTTATAGAAGAAATATGAAAAAAAGGTAACATGGCACCTCCTAAAGATCATAATTCATAATAAACTAGATGATATTTAAGTGGGTGAAATATCACACAAATAATTCAAACGAATGATTATAAAAATGATCCATAAAATTCTAAGAGAATACAGAAAAACAACTGAATAGATTAAGAAAGTCAGTTAAGGATATGAATGAAAAATTCAATAAGGAAATAGAGATATTGTAAAAGAACCAAACAAAAATCTTGGAAATGAAAGACAAAATAAATCAAACAAAATGTTCATTTAAAAGTCTCTCTAATAGAGTAGACCATGCTGATGGTAGAATCTGAGTTGGAAGACAACTAGGCCAACCTAGAACATTCAGGGAGTATTAAAAAAAATAAGTAACCATGATTTGAATATACAAGAACTCTGGGACAACATTGAGAGACTAAATTTAGGAATCATTGGAATTGAAGAGGGCTGTGAGAGTCAGACTAATCGAATGAAAAACCTCTTCAGAGAAATAACAACAATAACAACAACACAGAAAAACTTCTAAACCTTGAGAATGAGATGGACATTCAGATATACAACTCATTCAGACCCAAAATATATAAGATAAAAAAAAAATCTCTCTACAGCACATTATGATTAAAATGCCTGATAGAACAAGGAGGGAATTTTAAAAGCCCAATGAGAAAAACATAAGGTAAGATTTAGAGGCAAGCCAACCAGAACTACTTGTGATTTCTCAGCACAAACTCTAAAAGCCAGGAGGGCTTGGAAGGATATTCCAAATCCTGAAAAAAATAACTGTCAACCAAGATTGCTATATCCAGCAGAACTATTCTTCAAAATCAACTAAGAAAATAAAACCTTCCAATATAAGTAAAACAAAAAGAATTCATGACTACAAAGTTGAAATTACAGAACTTACTTAAAAAAAATTCCACACAGAAGAAATCAAAAGTAAACCCCAGAACACACAAATGAACAAATCCCACTTGAAGAGTAGTAAGCAAATGAGAAAACTGTAAACACATTAAACATTATCAACAAATAAAAATGGCAGAAATTAATAAATATTTCTTTATGGTAACATTGAATGTAAATGGTCTCAAGTCTCCAATTAAAAGACATAGACTGTCAGAAAATATTAAAAAACAAAATCCAACTATATGTTGTTTGCAAGAGACTCATCTTACAGGCAAAGACAGCCACAGACTGAAAGCGCAAAGGTGGAAGTTGCAAAGGTATCATGCAACTGGAGCCCCAAAACTAGAAGTAGTAGGTATTCCCATATTTGACAAAGCAGATTTCATATGAAAATTAATCAGAAGAGACAAAGAAGGTCACTTCATACTGATAAAGGAAACAATCCAACAAGAATATATAACTATAGTAAATATTTATGCCTCAAATATTAGTGCACCTAATTACATAAAGGGGACAATTCTCAAATTAAAGCCTCAAATAGACTCCAGTACAATAACACTGGGTGATTTCAACACATCTTTCTTACCAATAGAAATGTCATACATAAACTCAGTAAAGACTCTTTAGACCTGAAAAATATTATAAATATGAATTGGGCTTCACAGACATCTACAGAATGTTTCATACAACACCTAAATACATTGTCTTCTCAGAGACTGACAAAACTTTCTCCAAAATAGACAATATTATAGTCCTCAAAGCAATTCTTAGCAGATACAAATAAATTAATACAATTTGTTGCATCTTAGATAATAATGGAATGACATTTTATAAATCAACACTGAAAAAACATATAAAAACTATAAAAATACATGGAGATTGA